CCTCCAACTTATACTAATCTTACTTACTCCGCCGTCACAGCGATCCAAAGTGAATCTTGTCAAACCCAGCATAACTATTACGAGGGTAAAAAGCCAATGAGACGATCAAAGAATCGGAGACAATGTGTAGATATGATCATAATAACCATTGTGATCAAACAATCGACTCTCTCCGGAGACAATGCTCGAATGACAGTTCGTTGATTATACATATTGACGACTGATTTCGAACCAGCAATGCCAGATATCTCGTACGTGAAGGCTAAAAAACTATGGGCTAAATCAACAAAGGGTGTGTCAGTATTTCAAAGTTTTCAGAAAATGTTAGATCTGGAAGACGGTAAAGATTTCCAAATACCGTCTCAAAATAAGTTAAGAAGCGAATGTGAATTCTAATCAGATGTAGCCTTGGAACATTTGGATACACTTGGCTTATCTTTTTCGTTCATAAAAAGTGTTTATCTGCAACGCTAATATCCCCATTCACATCGAATTAGATCGCGACACAATGAGCTAACCCGTTCAATTAAAATTGTACCGCGAAGAATGTCCATTACTCAGCTGAATAAGACCAAGACATGGTTGAACACCATACAAAAGAATAATCATACAATACATAATAGTTTTGAGCTGTTTTCTATAAGAGATCTATTCTCTGCCAAAACTTCGAAGAGATGAATCAAATTTTAAATATTTCCTGTCCATAGTCGAGCAGCAAATACAGACAGGCGTCACGTAATTAAGCAATTGATATCATTTGAATAAGTAGGTTGAGCACGCCTGACTCTTGAAACATTATTGTGCAAAAGTCACCGACATATACTCAATACATAATAATTACAAGCGATAGAAGCTACATTATGTTTTAGGTTAATTATATAATGCTCCAATTTATGGTTACCGTCTGATAAGCAACATGAAGTACATTTTTTTTATCTAAAGACCTCATTACGACGAGTACTTATTTTTACCCTTTCATCATAAATAAGAAATTAAGGACGATAGTATTATTTAAACTATGTTGTTTCAAACAAAACTAAAGAGAGGAATTAAACCGTTTAAAAAGAGTTTAATGCGTAAGTTAGGAGCTTAGCAAGTAAGTGAAAGTATACAAGGAATTCGATTCTTAATTAAAATACTTGTAAAACCTGTTTGTTCGGTTTTAAATTTTCAATATTAATTTGAAAAAAGTAATAAAATTTAATTATCCAGCGTTTAGGCATCACTAGGCCGCGTGCCATTCTATTCATACTGGTGTAGGCAGGTATGTTATTAAATCATCGCTAAGGTCAAACCGAAGGGATCCCGCTAGACGGTAAATTAAAGACCACCGTTACAACGAGCGCCACGCAAAAAATGTCAAACCAGATTCATAGGATTGCTCTCATTCCTTCCGCCTCGAAGTGCGAGGCTTATTTTCATACTTGGCTTGATAACTTTTCCTTGACTACACTGCACAAATAGCAATTTTTACGATGTCATTCCTACCGATGACGACGAAGACAAAGAGGTAATGATTGTTGGCCTATTTATGCATACGGATATTGATCCGGTTTTAATTAATAAGGTGCCAGTAAAATGCTTTATATTAAAAATAATTTAGATAATAATCCTATATCGTGTATTAAAAAGGTCTTGGGGACCAGAGAATAAAAATGTTGGCTACAGTTAATAAACGTAACAAAAATGCAAACGGACGTGCAGTTATTACATAGGTGGATTATGGTTTTCTTTTGAATTCTTATTAAGTTCCTACATGGAACATCACGTTCTATATGTAACAAAGCAATACAACAATGGCATAATCAGTACTTTAATATTAGTCAAGTTATAGAATTAGGCCGTTAATAAGTAGTCTAGACTTCGGATGAACTAAATCAAAACACCTAACGTACCTTTCACCTTCGAACGCCCACTGGCTTTGTTATTTTTATTACACTTTCTATTTAATAACCCGCGTGATTGGCGAATTACGTATAACAATAATGGCGATATAAATTGTAAGTAACCATCGATCAATGAAGAGAATTGTATGTGAAACTATTCAAATTACCAGTACATCGATTTGTATAATCGACATATATAACTGTTAGAACCAGTTTATACAGTTTGTTGATGCGTAAAATTTAAAAAGTTATGCTATTATCATCAGCAGTATGACACGTCATAACTAATATATAATTACAGAAGCAATTAACATCGTCTTTTAAGTCATTTAACTATAAATTAACGCTAGTTGTAATCAACATGTCAAATCATATCTTTCAGTTTAGAGATCTACCCAGCCAACTGCACAAATGTATATCAGCAAAAACACTGTACACTCACAATTATATGCATAATCAGTAATTAAGATTAGATCCACCACGCTCGTCCACTGCGGGTGGTGGATTTTACCGACTATCCAATTAATAAATTAGTTAGTTAGTTAGTGGGGTAGGTTCAAATACCATTCTGCCCGGGTTTCGATCCCAGAACTCCGCCAAAACATAATCGAAGCCTAAACAATCAGTCAAAGAAAGCAGTTACGTTTATGGTTTAATGTATTTCTCACATGTTATAACAAAAAACCAGTAGTGAATTTTAACACCACGGGTTCTTAGGCTTTAGATCTTGCCAGAATCACACAATATCTAATTGCCAGTTAAAAAGTCAGAAGAATTCCATTTTGATTATAAGCAATCGATGGGCAGAAATGTGAAGCAATTCGCTCAGTGCTTGATTATTTATACCCACAAGTGTAATGAGGCAATGCTTACGGGACTTTCTAAACACATGGCCAGCCGGTAACCCTGTGGTGCCTGAGAGACAGCTAGATGGCAATAGATGGAGTCTGCAAGATACTGGTATAAACTCAAGTTAAAATTGTAACTTCGAGATATCTTTCCTTCCCGAAGTTATATGCATAGTGTCACGCATAAAACGCTAATGTAATCGGTTTTAAATAATTATTGAATTTAAACAAATGATGAATAGAGATTGAGCTATACCGTGTACGAGAAATACACATTAGGAAACTTTTTTACAATAGTTGTCGAACACCTACTAAAATTGTAGGACAGAGACGGCGTCTATTACAACTTTAAGCGAGTAAAATATTTTATCACTAAATAAGACTCCTAGATAAACATGACAGCCAGGGCTACAGTTGATCGATTTGCGTGAAGTGCATCAACTCGTGCGCAACCGTCCGTTATAAGGTGCTGCGGTAACGGGATCCGTGTCGTGTGTGACTACTGATTACTGACTATCGGTGACCATAGCAACGCGGCCTCGACTTAAGGTCACAGAGTAAAGGACTGGTTTTTAAACTTAAATGGTTTGTTGAAATTTAAGTAAATTGAACTTTAATGAGCAAGATTTCACTGTGTTACGAAGGATTCTTATTTTAAAAATGTTGTACAAGAATTCGCTTTAATTTTAAGTTTTACCGTAATGAAAACAAATAAAAAACCATTTCATATTATTTTAATAAAGGAATTCCATGCGCCAATTGGTTAAGTATATAATTATAACAAATTTCGACAGGTAGTGGGTTCGATCTTCACATGGTCCAACATGTTTTCAATCAATTTACAATTTTCTGTAACATGTTGGACTTCGTCTCGAATATTATTTTATTATAAAAATTGGTGATAGGAATATCGAAATTGCGTCCGGTTCACCTTAGGTGAAAAAGCTGTTACGTTTAATCGCGTTTCGGTGCATAAATGAATATAAGTGAGTCGACGGGCTAATTAGGTATTTCTACCAGAAATAAACCCCATCCTGTCCTCTTTTATATACAAAAAATATGTCCGTGCTATGTTATTGTAACGAATTAATCTAGAATAAAAGCCCTCTTCGCCTCCACTTCGCACCGTCCTACTAACATTTAAGAAACAAAGATAGTGAGGAAAGGCCCGTTCGAGGAAACGTCCGGTTTTCTCGACGAAACCTGTCGCAACGAGGAATGCAGGCTCAAGGCTGACGTATGGAAGTCCATAAACGAATCGGTGGAGCAGTTAATTATTAAAGCATGACCTCTTGTATATTTCATGTGGCGAGAGATGATATTTCTGTCTCGCCATTGTGCACATGGCGCACTTCCCTGCAAGGTATTTCTAACCAAATCCAAGAATGTTTTTTTTTTTAAATATTCACTTTTATCATAAAGACAATTAAATAAGGATATGTATATACAAGCAAATTAGTTGGCCAATTTTTAGTAACCATACTGCGTAGTAAATATGGTATACTATATATAATACTGCTTATGCTAATCGCCAGCCAAAAAGCTGTCAAACAGGAAGTAGATTATCTGCGGTTTAAAGTGAGTTGACATGGAAACAAATCTACTAAGAAATTCTCTGAATTATAGGTTCAGACATCAGTGTATATACAGTATATATATTATGCATCAAATTCCCGCCCTTGCAAGGACCAACAAGCTTCCATAGACAATGCATCAATTTCTATTTACGATGCTCTGTTGATTTGACACACGTGTTTTCCATCAGCTAAAATTTATATTTAACACTAGCTGTGCCAGCGACTTCGTCCGCGAGAATCGTTATTTTGGGCATCCAAATTAATTTTTGCAAATCCCGTCATCTTTATAAACTTAAGCTGCTAGCCATGATCGATCGCATCCCTTCCCGTCGTTTTTACACGTTAATCTTAAAAGATAGACATAAAGCGTCGGGGACTTTTATTTAGATCATTTAAATAGGAATCATTTCGCAGCGTACACATCTAAAAACCCACAGAGATGAATAATTTTCCCCGCTCTGTTCACATTTCCCGCTGTATCTTCGCTTCTATTAGTCACAGCGCGATGTTTTATAGCCTTAGCCTTCCTCGATAAATGTTCTATCTAACAAAAAATAATTTTTCAATTCGAACCCGTAGTTCCCGAGATTAGCGCGTTCAAACAAACAAACAAACTCTTCAGCTTTATATATTAAGTATAGATGCGCTACCGAGCTATTTAGCTGTGGACATGTTTTTAACGTCCTTACCTTCATAATGGTTATCGTCATCGTCAGTGTGGTGTGCAGTGCTGATCTGTCTGCATAGATCCTCATACTCCGCCCAATAAGCAGCTAGCGCCGTGGGATCTGGTGCACGAGGAGGCGACGGTAAAGTCATACGGACGTCTGGCGTCTCCTAAAAGAGATAAATATCAATATAACGTCTTCTCCTGTTTGATCTAGGTTATATGTTTTATTTATAATTACAAGCCTAGTTTTTGTTTTTTTTTTTTTTTTTTCTAAGATTTGATTCCATGATAAAGGACTAAAGGATGCTATGCTATGTGTAGTGAGTGTCAAAATCAAGACCAAATTGTTGAATTCCTGTCGAAATCAAATACAAAAGCAATTATAAGATATGTCCCATAATTATTTATATAACCCCGCTGATGTAGATAACGATAAAAATTGTCCATTATCTCCTAAATCAACAGAACAATATTACTTTATCTCTTAACGAACGTATCATAAAGCAAATTGACGCAATTTTATATTATCGTCTGCACTTATTGTAATATTGGGTGCAGGGTTTGTCTGTGGGAGGTTTTGCAGATAGATCAAAGGATATAAAAATGTAAAATGTAATTAAATACCTATCTAAGTATATATATTGCCTTTATACACCCGTAATAAAAAGGTGGAAACGCGAATTTTCAAATACCGGGTTGTAGTCAAAACTAGATTTCCGTTTTAAACCGTCAAAACCACGTATTTAATCCTTAGATAACGATTTTAGACGTACGAAGTTGCGTGCAACCGCTAGTAGACAATAAAACGAAAGAGCTTACGAAATAGCCCATTAGCCGCTCTACAGAGCTGAGACAATGTTCTCATTGCGACATTGGCTAATGGCTAAATTATGAGTAAAATATTTAAATTTCAATACATTTAACACTAAGTTTCTAATTATAATGTCGACAGTTATTCATGGAATCGTCTATACTAAAAAGAATAGCCATTTTTTGCCACGTTTTTTTTAATTTTTAAAAGATAACTGTGAATAAGAACGTAATATTTATAAATTAATTGTTATTTATAGTTATATTGACAGAATTCTTTAAATTGTAAAATTAGATTTTGTAGATGTCGAACCTAAATAAGACAATGTTAGTGTTATTGAGTACCAGTTATCCCGCGGAGGCTCGGAGTCGGTGTTTTTTGAAAGGAGCTGTTCGAATAAAATGTTGGAGAATCACTAGACTCTAATCTTGTGTATTAAAACAATTTTATCTTTAAATACCGTAGTGTAAATATTAGCCTAGATAAAAGTAATAACGTATATCATAATTTGATAAATACGTATTATATTATTTAATAATAAAATAAATTTGGTATTTGTCATCATAAACGATACACTCTACAGATAGCATTTTCACAATAATTTAATCAAAAAGTCATATTTCTTTGTAAATCTCATAATATTTAATAGTTTTTTAATTAATAAGATTGCTGAAACCGTAATCATTATATAACTCAAAACAGCAAAATATGCGACCGTGAATGGCGAAATTAATATTTCACATTTAAAATAAATATTTCTTCGGTAAATGTTATAACATTAAGGTTAAAACTAAGGTTACTAAATTGGTTACAGGTTATGTAATCACGACCTTTGCTTACATATTTACTGTTTCACTTAATACCAACAATTCTGTTAAGCCAAGTAAACACTTTTAACAGTTTAAACGCGGTTATTGTAACTAAGGCCCGACGTTTCGGATGCTTTGCAACAGCCGTGGTCTAAGGAATTTAGGAAGGTTTCTAATATAGGTCCAGTGATTTCCAATATTTAAAGTTACTAATATTAGGTAGTTATATGGAGTCTCACTAAAACAGCAATTGGAATTTACATCTATCATAAAATTAGTACTTAACGTTCATAAAACTAAAAACAAAAATGCTTAGTAATACTAAATATGTACATACTAGCAAAATAACGCAGTTACTTTTGTTTATAAACACGTTTTTTAAATTGAAAATTACGTTTTTAATATACGCCTTCAATTTGCAACACTGGTACGTGCGTATGAGCGTGGTAATGTGATCCGATAAGTCGATACGATCTGCCAACCATTACAGTATTAAATGCCTTTTGTTTACCGACCAATACGTATACGCCAACTAAGTGGCTGTTTTACTTGTTCTGAGAGCATAAGCCAACGTTAAATGAAGTTAGAAATGCAATTATTTTAAGTCAGTTAAAGTTGTTTGGAAACATATTTGTCTAAGAAAATTCTTTTAACTGTTTAAACATTGTTGTACATAGTTACAAACCGACGTTTTGGCTGCTCTGCAGTAGGCGTGATCACGGGATGTATTTGTAAGATATCCCAAAAAAAAGGGATGACTAATTTGTATACTGTTAAAAGAAGATTAAATATCGAAAATAAATTATAAAATGTTCGACTGTCGCAGGTTTTCAACCGGCATCATAAGCGGCATTTTTTCAATTTATTTTCGATTTTTGATCTATATAGTGCCATTATGTGCAATAACATATAAAAATATTAAAGTTTTCAACAGTTTAAAGTAGTTATTTATAAGTGTACCTCGTATAGACTGCAATACTTGACAATTCATTTTATAAATAACTGAATTTCGGTTACAATCCCTAGGGATTGTAACCAAGCAGCATCTCGCTTGTGTCTTAACATTGGGATTTTCCACCTTAGATACGAGTAAAGAAACAAGCGTCTTCTATTCATCTGACATACATAAAGTGATCTAAGCTGCTTATCAAGTTTAAAAATGACTAAGTAGGTAGATTGACATAATATTTTCGTATTACACAAGGTAACTCCTACCTTAATATAATTAAGTTTACAATTTCGAAACACTAATTAGATAAAAAGGCTTTCGTAATTCAATAACAAGATGAGCTGGAGAAGAAAGTTCGCCAATTAGTCTACGGACTACGTCTGATCGTTATACAACACATGCTCATATTCATAACTCGTGATTTGTTAAGAAGATAGTAATTACATAAGTCTATGTAATGCTTATTATCATTAGACACGTACAGCTGTTTCCTTGCTTCCTGATTCTTCTTTGAAGTACGCGTCAAATGGATTTAGTTTACGGAAATTAAATATACCACGATTTCACAATTCCTTTATATTTTTTGTGAGAGAAGAGGGTAGGAATGTCACTTAGCCCTATAAAATCCAATTATGCTACGCTTTCGATATATTTCCGCTTTGCATAAAACCTCAGGCTGAAACCGAAACGCGACTTATAAATCTGAATGATGAAGATTGACACTCATTTACATTAATTAAATTAGTGGTAGCACATTGGATGATAGGATTCGTGGTTTAGGCAAATTGGTTTATTTAATAACATTTTGGACCCCACAAATTCAAATCAACGACTTATTAGTTATTATATTATCTAGGGTATTATTAATAAAAAATACAGGACTATATCATCTAAGCAGATGTATGTCGCCAATAAGTAGTTAGTCCCCCGTGCAAATCTTTCCGTTGTTATTAACATATATAAGCAAAAAATAAACCAATCATTCTAAGAAAATCGTTTACATCGCAATGTCATGTCATTTCAAAATGTATTACGCAGTAATTACCTAATCCACGTGTGTTATAACTTATAATGGACATGATAAAAATGTTGTCAACTTTCAAAATAGCGACGAGTCTAGAGAACGGTTGGCCTCAGCGACCTTATCGAAGTGAAAACGACGTGACGTTAGATGAGGTTTAGTCTCGATTTCGTAAAGAAACATACGGGATCATAGTAACGATTGATTTGAGATTTTAAACAAAAAGTCAAAATAATCGTAAAGATAATTGACATGAAACCAAAAATTTTTCTAATACACACTTAACATAACAAACAATATATGTTAACATTATGGATTACTACGAGTAATGAACGTATAGAAAACTATTATGAAAGACATGTTGAAAAAAGCGGAAATGAATTTCTTGAGTGTTCTTCTCGATCTTGTTGCTCTTTTAAACACCGTAGAATCACGAGGGATAGACAAAAAAATATATTTCATTTTTTTTTACGAATATAGACATGAAATGTTTAACAATTTAAAGAGAATAAAGTATATTTTATTTTTAATGAAATATGTATTAGTTTTCCAAATTCTACTAGCTTATTTGAATATTATTGTTTGTTCGATTCTTTTTCACCTAGATATTGTTTAGTAAAGTTAAATCATCTAAAATTCATCTAGTGACAAACCTTTTGTAATTTTGCAAAAATTTCGTTTAAATCGCCTTTTTAGTACTTATATGGTGCTAATGCTTACAGGATCTTTGCATAATTTTGAATACTCTGGCCTTATCTTATTTACTTACTTTCAAGGAATTAGAGATGATGTTGCCAACTGGTTATTTGACTGATTCATAATGACACACATTGCTGGGTCCTATATGTATATGTAACTCTTTCACGCTACTAAAAATATATCACATGCGGGATGAACGAGGAGTTCTTATGACCTGAATTTTATTATCTGGTTAAAATTTATGGTTATATTGCCATCTAATGTACAGTTAACGTAGGGTGCATCTGGTAACATTGCTTAACTATAGTATGACGATATGTATAGTATGAAAAGTGATAATAATCAAATATTAAGGTTTTGACAGCTCCATTATTATGTAAATGATTGGTGTCGCATATTTTTAGGTATGTTTTATACAGTGTCCAAAATTGTTGTCATGCATTTGAGCACTTGTCGCTACTTAGACACGTCAATCAATATATAACAATTTACAATTTCTAATAAAACAGATCTATATCTAAATCCGTTTTTCGTATTAGGGTGTCGTTAAGTATAGGTTTGTACTTAAAAAATATGCACATTAATCTATCGTTTCCACGGTTTCATGAGAAAAAAACACATTTAACTATACAGGAAGATTTGTGTTTATTCATTAAATTCAAGCATTATTTGTGTTAAAATGCAATAACAAAGTTCATAATATGTTTGTCGTATTATTTTCCAGTCAGTCTACCGCAGCTTAATTCAATTAGCACCGTTTACCGCAGCACTTATGTGTTATTTATACAATATTGGTATGTATTACAACGGCATAAAGATTTATTATAGCGTTCAGCAAATAGCTTTTCTGCCCAAGGACAGTACGTAGTTCAAGGTGACCCTGTAGACGTGCAAAGCCTAGGAGATCACTGTAATCTGCACGACAATCAAAGTAAATCTTAAGATTAAGTGCGCCTTTATCAAAACATCAAGACTAGCTACTGGATACCTAATTAGAAAATACCTACTTGAAAACGAAGGCGCCAATTCTCAATATCGTATTTAAAATCCGGGGCATGGGGCGAAGATATAGGTATCTTTTTGGGTTTACTGATTGATTCTTATGTCTTACTTAAGATAGATAGAGCCAAGTAGATGATTGACTTTTGGTCGTCCAAGTAATTTTCTGGTTCCGAACCCAGGACCGCTCGTCTGCAACACTTTTGGCTAGCAAGTTTGAGTTAGAAGAGAAGCATTATTTAGCCCTATTTAAGTATTTTTCCCTTTAAATTATTGTTGAATCTCAAAACTTAAACACAACATGAATCAACAAAATGTGTAATTTTAGCTAGTTTCTGGCCAATATACATTACGGTAACAGGTAACTTGACATTTTTACAAAATATTGCGTTAAATATCTGTAACTTTGAAAATTTAAAACAAAACTAATTCTATGTCTAGCCCTACCGAACCCTTATTGCAATGGGTATTTGAGAGATGTAATCCAGTTTTTAGTGGCCATACGTGTTGTACGAATATTAATTGTGTATTTACATACACTCAATTACTAAAATATTTACAAAGAACCCTTCCTAGTAATTGTTAATTGCAGAAGATATACTATTTCATCGAGTTTAAGTGACAGGAGAAAATCTTGATATGATTAATGTAGCGAAATGCAGCGGAGGTAGCACGCAACGAAATTAACCACCACTCAATACCTATATGGGTAAGTGTGTCAAATCCTCAAGTAAAAGAAAGCCGGCGAATTTTGTTTATTACGCCAATTGCCTCCTTTTACGCATTTTAACTCGCATTATGAGTCTGTTTATGTATTTTAACATGATTTATATTCTTCTCCGTTCAACATCGTGATTTTACATTGTTCTCTGGTATAATTGCTTACGTCTATTACGAAAGAAATACCACGTGACATTGGTAAGAATGCTTATTTTTTATACTATAGTAGACTACTTGTCAGTCTTCAGTGCCCTGCTCGACCGAAACAATCTATTGTTTCATTCGAATTCGAACCTAGAACGTCTCGCTCTTAACGCAATGCAAAGCAACACGTTTAACCGTTTAGCTACAGAGGCGGTCATTCTATACTAATACATTTAGAAATACATACATATCTATTTAAGCTAATATAATACAAAAACGTTACGAATACTGGCTGTTAACATACCTACTTTGAAATGATCAAATGAAACGCGCGCTTTTAATTTTTTATCTACACTTTATGCATAATATGTTATTTTATCTGTGTTAAGGCGCGGGATTTTATCGAAGAGATTAAAATCTCAATTAAATGTTTTAAGTATGAACCCCATTTTGACGACCATTTCATTAATCTTTTTCTGAATACCTATTATTAATAAGTAATTAACTAGAACCAGACTTTTTGAATTCAAATGCTAGATAGATACGCGATTTATCACTGAACCACAGACACTATCAGTATATAAGTCTAATACACAAGCTTAAAGTAATAAATAATATTTATTGTCTGTAGGGACTTTATATATATATATAGGTAATAAAGTTTGTAGCTTCTTGTTCATTTGTTTGTAAATAGCAGGAATAGTAATACATTTTACAATTACAGAGTACCCTTCTCACGTAGAAAATAATATACCTATTGTGTTTTCTTATTCGTTCTACTGCATGGCCTCCGTCGGTTTCGACTTTGTTCAATTCTTATTCACTTGAATGACATCATTATCGAAACATTAAAAGACAGTGTTTGTAAATGAAACGAAATGTTAATAAGGATAATATATCTTTAAGTGTGCCTCAAGGTTTTATATTTATCAAACTACGTTAAACACTGCAAGTTTAACATGCTTGATAAAAGTATTTAAAAAACTGTATAGAATACAAACACTGTCCACAGACTTTATTTATCTGATATAATTAAAGTTAAAATCAGGATTAATACAAACTGTTTGCATTACAAGGAAACCTGAATCGCTCGTACAAAAAACCATATTATGACGCATTAAGTAAAACACGTATCTCTATGTATACTTACCAACTTTAACATTTGAGAATCCACTTATAAGAGATATTCCGTAGTTAACTTTAGTTCTTTCTTGTCTTATGCTCACATAAGCACACACTCACTTTTACAACAGCTTCATACCATTCAAAAACACAAGATGACAGTTTTGTTTTTATCGCCACGCGTCGGTTTTTTAAGGGATGTTATGCATATATCGTATCGTATGCACGGGGCATACACGCAAAACGTTTTGCAATGATTTAAGCAAGTGCACAGTTGAGTTTTTGAATTATCGAGACACGAAACGTATAAACGTAAATTGAGAGACAAGCACACACAACAACAGCTGGCGCGACACTGAATTAAACATTGAGTTGAATGGAGATTGGAGAGTGACGAGTCGCCACTCGCGAGTCACACAGGCACGACTCGAGGCGCGGGGCGGGGGACAATTTTGAAAAAGTTCTCTATATTAATTGTCACAATAAAACAAAAGTCATCAATAATGCCGATGTAATTATTTTTCATCAAAACTATTACTTTAAGATTTTGTTAACCAAAACATACGGTTGAGAACATATCACATATAAATAAAACACTTTAACGGTTTAAAACGCGATATATTAGTTAAACTTATTTGAAAATGTGGGTAACCGGGCTTAAAAATCATTTTCAAATAAGTTTAACTAATACATCGCATTTAAATAAAACACTAAGTTTTATTTAAATGTGTACTACTCGCGTAAACTATAGACATAATTTAACATATCACATAATAGACATAATAGGCAATTACGCGTATCTGGTGGAAAAAATGTATGGAACCTTAAAGAAAAAATTTAATTCTTCACGGCATTAAATTAAAACTAACACATTAGCGATGTATAAGTGTTCTTAGAGAATTGGTAAGTACCCTACATTAGATTACAGTTACTATGGTTAAATTGCAAACGTCTAATAGTTTAGTTACTCCCTTTCTTGGGGTGGGCCTACACATTTCTGTGTCCGTTTCACTGATCCGTTATTTAACAGGGAAGTAGTTGTCCGGCTTCTGTGCCCACAGAAATGTACGATAATAAAAAAAAACAAAACTAAGAATTAAGACTTTTTTAATGAACCATTATCTTCTACTCTACATACCTATCAAACTAGTAGACAAACTTGACAACCTTATCGCACACCTCAATTTTCATAAGTCTTCTGAATTACCTCAAAATTATAAGATAAATTACGAATGTTTCATGTACATAATAATACAGTTTAATTAAATACTGTCTATAGTTTACGCGAGTAGTACACATTTAAATAAAACACTTTAACGGTTTGAAACGCGATATATTAGTTAAACTTATTTGAAAATGATTTTTAACTTCGGCCCGACGTTTCGGATGCTTTGCAGCAGCCGTGGTCACGGGGAGACTAAAGATGGAGGATGTCTCTGACGTCAAAATACGACGCTAGCGCTAGCAATTTTTTCAAATATATCGCGTTTCAAACCGTTAAACAGTTTTATTAATATTTATTCTGAGAGATAATTACATTAAAGGTTTGTATATTTTTTTTGTCAAATACTCCCCATTCATCAAATAAAATTCGGTCGTTATAAGCCTAAAAATGGAGTATTATTATAATGAATCATAAAACAAATGTGTAAAACTGTAATGAAATATTATTCCAAACTATTGTTCAATAACACTTGAATTAACAAATGAATCATAAAAACAAAACAAAAACCGTAAGTTTACTGCACCGTGGGCAATTTGTTCAATGAAATAACTGTTATCCGTGATATTATGTAAATTGGGTAAAAGTCTGCTTTAATATCTAAGTACAAGAATTAACAACGAGGGCAAAGCCAAAAGAGGGGGTAATGGACTAATACTTTTGTCGACATAATATGTAAGTTCCTAAGCCATTTTAATTTAACTAAAGTGAAAATTAATTTAAATTAGACTTTCAAACATTTTAATGGCGAACTATATTAGTTTATTAATATTTTATTATTAGCTGTGTCAGCGACTTCGTCCGCGTTATTTTGGGCAAAATGTGTTTTTGCAAACCTCCGCTTCGTCTTTAAAAATACAAGCTGTTACCCACGACGTCGATCGCGTCCCATCGTTCGCGCCACATCGTTCGGGTGCCTTCATTCTTAGTTTATCTTAAGAGATAACATCATATACTGTGTCCAACGCACGTCTTTTAGATCATTTATAGAGGAATTAGTTATTTCTACATATTATGTGTATTTTGAACTGTACATGCGCGTACGCATCGGAAACCCACATAGATAATTACTTTCCCTTTTTTCTCCACATTTCCCATTGTTTTTTCGCTCCTTTTAGTTGCAGCGCGCTGTATTATGGCCTATAGCCTTTCTCGATAAAAGCTTTAACCAACACAGAAATAATTTTTCACTTCTAACAAAAAGTTCTAAGATTACCGCGTTCAAACAAACTCTTCAGCTTTATATATTAGTATAGATAGATAGCGAGATGGAATATAGATAATCGGCGTGTTCATGCTTTCACAGCAGCTGTGGTCAACTTCACAAGGTGTCAAAGCATTCGTAATAGTGGCAATATGGTAGGTTATTATGATGTCGGAATTAGAACATCAACATCAAACCTTAAAAATCCCGTGTTTGACTTCAAAAGAAAGGTCTGCATGACTACAGTATAAGCTAGTGCAAAGCAAATATATGGATACTTTATTCTCCGAGACTTGTTTCATATGTTTTTGTAACTACAGTGTAATAGTTTTATAATCTGTTTTAAGAGACATGTATTAGAAGAACACAATACATTTATTTGAACCGAATTGTATGCTTTGTTCTTATAAGGAAGCGCATCATGCGATAATGAAATATTAGGAGGCGACGCGTATTGGAAAAAAGATCTCAAACAGGAAGTTTAACTTGAGACTTCCCGAGATGTATTTCCGTTTCCCGCCAATGATTGATAGAAAGCTGAATCTTTCACTCCATTTATAGGCCGAGCCATGAGGTGTCAAGAAGAAAAACATGTGAACCTGTTGCTATACTTAGACAGGGAGCGTCTTTATAAGTGAACTAGCGATATCTTCGATTACTCATTTCGGTGACTAAACTTCAAGAATATTCTTTAAGCTTAAGCCAGTTGTAAATGGTATATCAATAAATTATATTGTAATAATACTCAATAAAACAACATACTTAAATTTAAAACGCGAAATATATCTAAGGTAAATTATTAAAAAAATATTTTAACTAAAGCTACGTCGTTTCGGATAATTTGTCACGGCGAGACGTCGGGCAGTAGCCAAAATAATTCTTAAAAATGTTTAGTTTTTTACTTAAATGCGTACCTACTACTCGCGTAAAATACTGACCGTAAACACACAATAACGATGTTTTAACAAAGCCAGAATGACACTGAAATAAAAAATATACCAATTACCAGATGGTAATAGATGGTGAGTAATAAATATTACCCACTACGGCACACCAGAAAGGAGAACATCGAGTTAAGATCAATACAATCTGTCAAAATCGTTTATTATCTTGACCTGTGTAAGATTTCGGAAGTCACTTGTTGAACTACGTGATGTTTTGTTAAGTTGAGGGATTACCCTGTTAAGATAAACGTAGACTGACGTGCACGAGTTATGTAACTTGGAAAAACAGATAATGTATATATTTTTCATATCAATCCCATGACAACTTAGCGTTTTATATTATTGTCCCGTTATAATTCACTAGAGAGGTTATGTAGATATATTATTTAATAAACCAACAACACTAATTAATCTACGAACTAAGAAGCACCTGATTGACTTTTGGAATCTTCTTCTTCATCTTCATAATGTAATCAGAATAAAACGAAGTAAATTTAACGACATTTTTTATTAACTTGTACAGCCAGAATGGAATGTTCGAGAAGATTTTGTGTATCGTTTTTATAGAAAACTAACGCTAACACCGTAGCTCTATAGACCATCTTTGTTTAATCTTGTGATAAATATTATACGTAAGCTGGAACAAAAGCTATTTTCTCATGAAGTGAGGACTTGGCGAGTCCAACCATCTAATATATATCTATAAATATTGCTCCATATTTTTAGTATATAAGTCTCATGTCTATTTTTGTCATTTTTTTGTCAATAAAGTGTAAAATAAATAATAATAACCCAAAAAAGAGGCGCTGCTATCACAATACTTTTCAATTAGTCCTGCCATAGGCTGGTGTCAAAAACCCTGTGAAATCCGCAGAATAAAACAATGCTTAACAGTTGACAAGAGCGATTTCCTGCCATTCAGAGCTTCCTTTAATTGTCTGTGTTTGAAATTAGCGGAATAACTTGTCGAAGATTTCAAAGGAAGTTGTATCTGTGGTTTACGCGAGTGGTACATATTAAATAGAACAATTTAAAACAAGTGAAATACGAAGGAAATTACTAATAATAATTAGTAATTTCTGAATCATTGTTTTGTAAGTAATTATTAGTTTTTTTTTTAACAGCTGATACAAAAATGATTACATATTATGTGACCGAATTGTATTTAAAATACAATTCGGTTTCAATGTACCTCACTCTTATGATCGTTCATATAGGATACGAACTAAAAACAATAAAACTATATTATCTCACGTATTCCGGAAGCGGTAGATCAAATTGTAAACAAACATAACTTTCGGATAGAAAGTAAAACCGCATCAAATTTCATTAATTTGACGATGAAGTGTCAACTAACCAGAATTATCTCAAGATACTTTAAGTACTCCACCTTTATTATAAATACATTCTATAGTAATGGTGTCCTTTATTAGTGTCCCTAATATCAAAAATTAAATTTGCTACGCTAGCGCCATCTGTTTCATCGTGGGTCCTTCTGAACTGACTCACTGTATCTTTCCCTGGCATTAATTGCATTTATTTAAAACAGATTTCTCATTTCATTTGGTGCACTTTAAAAATGTATAATATGTTTGAACAAACAAATGAACATTTGTAAGCTGCGTAAGATGAATAATATAAACATTGAAATCGTTCAAATAATTGTTACT